AGATCATTTCCTTGTTTCGGTCATCGTGACATACTCAGCCTCGATTGTAGATAAAGTCACAATCTTCTGCAGACGTGAGACCTAGCTCACTGCTATCGACACTAAGGTATAAACATTCCCCGTGATGCTTCGTCTCGTATCATGATCACGGCGAAGTCCGCATCCACGTATCCCTGCAGCACCAACTCTTTTTTTCTGAAATATAGTGGTTTGTTCGTTGTTCCCCTCAAGTATAGTAATATCCACTTCACGACCTCCCAATGCTGTTTCCCTGGATTACTAGCAAACCTGCTCACAACTCCCACTGCATGGGCGATGTCCGGTCTAGTGCAAACCATCGCATACATGAGACTCCCAATGATCGAAGAATATGGCACCTGCTCATATGCTCTCTATCTGCATCTGTCTTAGATGATTGATTCTCAGATAGCTTGAACTGACTTCCAAGGGGCGTGCTAACAACTTTGGCATTCTGCATGTTAAACCTCTGAAGTACCTTCTCAATGTATTCAGTTTGGCTCAATCTCAACGTCCCTTGAGCTTCATCCCTACTGATTCGTATCCCTAGAATCTGTTTTGTTGCACCCAGATCCTTCATTGTAAACTCCTTTGCTAGCTGTTTCTTCAAACTGTTTATATCTTCTAAACACGATCCTGCTACCAACATGTCATCAACATATAATAACAAGATAATAAAGCTGGACTCGAACCTTTTGAAATAACAATAATGGTCCGAATTGCATCTTCTGTAACCATTGTTTTGCATGAAGTTATCAAACTTCTTGTATCATTGTTTCGGAGCCTGTTTCAAATCATATAAACTCTTCTTGAGCTTGCACACCATCTCTTTCTTTCCTTCTTCAATGAAGCCAACAGGCTGCTTCATGTAGATTTCTTCATCTAAGTTACCATAAAAAAGGCAGTCTTTACATCTAACTGCTTAAGAAAGATATCTTCTGTAGCTACCAAACTCAACACCACTCTGATGGTTGTGAGCGTCACTACAGGGAAAAATATCTCCGTGTAGTCTACTCCTTCCCGTTGTTAAAACCCCTTCACTACTAATCTGGCATTGAATCTCTTGCTTCCATCAATCTCCTGCTTGACCCAGTAGACCCATTTGTTATATAAGGACTTCTTCTGCGCAGGTAGCTAGGCTAACTCCCATATCTCATTAGTGAGTAGAGAATCCATCTATTCCTGCATCGCATGCTCTCACTGCTGAGATTCACTCACTTGTATTGCCTCTTCATAGCACTCCGGTTCACCGTTATCTGTCAACAATAAGTAATCAAGAGATGAAAGATATCTGGGATTTGGTTTGGTTAACTTGGATGAAAGATATCTGGGAAAGATGGCCTTTCATTCTTCTGAAAACTAACCCTTTTTTGCTTCCCAAAGATGCAATCTTCACAAACCCCGACTTTCACGGAATCGATCCTGGTTATCTTTCCCTGTGAATGTAAGATCTTCATTCCCTTCTCGCTCCTGTGCCCTAGCCTGTTGTGCCATAGATCTGTACTCTTTTTGCCAGCTACAATTGCGAGGGTGTCACTCGCATATAGGGTGAGGTAGAGAGTTTCTAGTTTGTTGTCTCGAGCAACTATTATCTTACCGTTGGAGATTCTTCACGAATCCCCTGTGAATGTCGAAACATAGCTTGCTCCAAGCTGTCCCACCGAAACAAGATTCCTCTTTAACTTCGGCACGTGTCTCACGTTCTTCAAGGTCCACTTAGAGCCCTTCATCTGATCTGCACCTCACCCTTTCCAACAGCATTACAAGGCTCGTTATTCCCCAAATACACTTTCCAAAGTCCACTGTTACATAATTTTGAAAAAACTTCCTATTAGCAGTAGCGTGGAAAGAGGCTCCTGAGTCAATGACCCAAGAATCCGAGTCGCTATCCATAGTAAGGATCAAGGCATCCTGCATGATATGAGCCTCCTGCTCACCCACATCCTTTTTTTGACTTTTACAGACTGAAGACATATGACCATCCTAATCGCAGTTCCAACACTTTTCTTTAATAGGCCTAACCTTCGAGTTCGACCTCTTCATTACTGATTTTGACCGATTCCTATTCTGGTTTTCTTTCTTCTTTCTTCTGTCTTCTGCCTCTCTGCTCGAAACTTAGCGCTGAACCTGAACCTTTTGATTCGAATAAAATCATGCTAACAACCTCACTCAGCTTCAACTTCTCTTTCCCCGTCGAATTGCTGATTGCCGTCACACAACTTGTTCAACTATCCGGCAACTACGATAGAATCAATAGGGCTTACACTTCATCATTGAACGTGATGTCTACGGAGATAAGCTGATCAACAATCGTGTTGAACTCGCTGAGGTGTATCGTGAAGGACCGTTCTTCTGCCATCTTGAGGTTGAAAAGAGTCTTGACGAGATGCACCTTGTTTGCTACCGACGGTTGCTCGTACATCTTCGCGAGCGCTTCCATAAACCTCACCGTCGTCTACTCCTTCAAGATATTGTGGGCTACTGATTTGGCGAGCGACAACCGGATTTTCCCTAGAGTCTTCCTATCCAGTATCTCCTAATCATCATTTGACTCCTTTTTTTTGTCCCTTATCCTTACCCATCAACGGGCGATACAAGTCCTTCTGGTACAGATAGTCCTCCATCTGCGACTTTCAGTAGGCGAAGTCTGAGTCGTCAAACTTCTCGATCTTAGATTTGATTTCCTCTGCCATGGTTTTCACACAAATTGCTGAACTAAGCTCTGATACTAGTTGTTGGGGATTCGAACCCATCAAATCGAACCATTGCCCTTCCGAACCTTGTGTTGAAAGTAGGAAAGTAGGAAAATTTACCTCAAATAAAGATAAAAAAACTTGCAGAAATAATAAAGGAAATGAACACACAGATTTAACGAGGTTCGCCAACGTGCCTACGTCCTCGGGAGCCACACCACATAATTCTTTTGATTAATTGAAGAAAAAATACATGCTCTCAAACTAGGGTTTTATCTCTCTGAGATTCTCTCTTTTTCTGCTGTCAAAAACTCTCTTTTTTCGTGTGTAAACAAGCCCTAAAAACGTTTAGGTATATATAGAGTCTTGAAAAGAAACAGAATCCAAAACAGTTTAGGAAACTGTTTGACTGCATCGCGGTCGACCATGATGGTCGACCGCGCAGGTATCGCGGTCGACCGCAGGTATCGCGGTCGACCACACACCAATCACGGTCGACCGTATCAAAAACCCGAGACCAAAAATCCTACAGGGTTGGTGCGGTCGACCGTCGCGGTCGACCGCCTTCAGCTCCAGCCTCTTGTCAGCTTCTGTGCACGTTCGCAGTCGACCGCCACGGTCGACCGTGCAGGTCTCCTCCTGTTTTTCTCGATTTTTCTCACTCGTTTTGATTCCAGTTTCGGCTTCAACTTTGGGTCTACACTTTAGACTAACAGAAATAACTCTTGCACACTCAATTTCACCTACCTTTTGAAGATTTTGTTCCTCTTCCTTAGTTTCTAATTTCCTAGTAAGGCATCAGATAACTGAACATTAATCGGATGATATCCCAGTGATGCGAGAGAATTTTATTTCTTGTGTAGAGCAGCATCTAGTCTCATGCTTCTGCATCAGTCAGATGCTAGATTACGTTTCTACCTTTCAATTTTCAAAAGAATGCTTCTTTCCTTTCCTTCTGACATATATGCAATTGGTATTCACAAAATTGACCTTTTGATCTTTTCGTAGACAATTAAATCTTTTCCAGAATATTACTGGAATATATCCTGATGGCCCACAAAGTTGTTTGTACGAGCGCAAGTTTTTTTATCATCCTCTTGGTGAGGTATTATGCAACTTTTATCTTATTAACTTTCTTTTTAATTCTTATCTTGATCATTTTTAGTTAATTTCAATAGAATTTAGTCCCTCTCCAATTTGAAATCTAGCTGTCTTCCATGTCTTACACCCATTTTTGTTTTTTATTCAAAGAATAGTTCATTAAAAATAAATGATTGTAACTAAAAGTAGTAGTCTCTCTATTATTTCTTCACAGTGGAGAGGATTGAAATCCTTCTCAATCGATCATTAATAAGACTGGGATATGAGAAGGCTTAGTGTTATAGGTTGCCTCAAATACTCAAATCCATATTGTTTTAGGGGTTCCTTTTATGACTTGGTTTGTTTTGATCAAAAGTCCTACTTACATTAGACTTTGCACAACCAATCATATTAGAGGTTTATTCTTACTTGGACTCTTATTGGGTTTTAGGACATGTGGACTTCTATTCCTATTAGAACTCTTATTCCTTAGACAGTAAGGAGCTGAGATCTTCAAGGCTATATAAGAATAATCTTTCAAGCCAATAATTATCAATAATCTTCGGAGCACCAATCAAGAAGAGAGTTCTTTTGTGAAGCGTATTTGATGTTCTTCTCTTTTGTTCCTTTAGTTGAGAGTTGTATTAGGCTTTTGAGGTGTTATTTGGGATTGAGAGATTGCACTTTGTATTCCTCACAATTAGTAAATATTTTCTCCTCCTTCGCCCGTGGACCTAGGCTACAAGCCGAACCACGTATATCTTTGTGTTCGTGTGTTCTTGATATTTTTCGTGCTCTCGTGTGATTGATATTAGCTTATGCTGGAGAGTTTGTCATAACACTTAGTCATTTTCAGTCCTTTCCTTTTCGGTGTGCATCTCTCTTGCTTACATTTTCTTAAATGGATTCCTAGAGTCATCTTTAGTCCTGTTTGTATTTACGTTCTTGTTCTCCTTGTCACATCCACTCAACGCTTCCCTACAGTCTCACTATGATTAACTGGCCACTTTTAGATCGTATATCTAATTGTTCAACAAGCCATTCATAGGTCAGATATAAAAATTGTTTGCCCCTCTTGAGTTTTCTTCTAGCTTAATCTTGCACTGAGGAAGGGATTCATGAAGAGTATTATCAACTTGTGTGATTAGTAGTTCACAAATATTTCCATGTCCATTTACTCTCTGATTTTAATTTAACATGTCTTTGCAGGTTCCATCAGTTGCATGAATTTGATCAAGGGAAACGAAGCTGTCGCAGACGCCTTGCTGGTCACAATGAGCGTCGAAGGAAGCCACCTCCTGGCCCTTTATCCCCACGTTACGGGAGACTCTCATCTTCCATCTATGGTTAACTTTCCTCTATCATTTTATCTTTCCGTAAATTGAAAAAAATCCATGAATGGCTTGCATGACTGACAGAAAATCCTCCTATGATTTCAAATACCTGTATCATTTTATAATCATCAAATTTCAGATGTAATCATTATTTTCGATAAATAATCATATATATGTTTATATGGGAGTGCATATAACTGTCATATCCTACGATGTGCTTTTACATACAAGTCAATTTTGTAGAAATTAAAAGAGGGGAGTAAAGTATCACCTGTAAAAACTTCAGGGGATTTTCTGGCTTGCATGACTTACAGAAAATCCTCCTATGATTTCAAATACCTGTATCATTTTATAATCATCAAATGTCAGATGTAATCATTATTTTCGATAAATAATCATATATATGTTTATATGGGAGTGCATATAACTGTCATATCCTACGATGTGCTTTTACATACAAGTCAATTTTGTAGAAATTAAAAGAGGGGAGTAAAGTATCACCTGTAAAAACTTCAGGGGATTTTCTGTCAATAACACAAACTTTAGGAGAATTCTCTATAATTTACCCTTTAACCTTTATATTTTTCTTCTATTTTTTCTTTTTCAATTTTAACCTGACTATTTTTAATAGCAATTTGACATTGTTAATTTGCAGAAGATGGTAGCAGATTCAGGAGCTTTCTCATGGATTTCAGTTACCCAAGGACTCAGTCTCCTCCGTCGAGAAATCTGTGGCCTGCTGTAAGGTCCAGTGAGCGAGTGGCTGGTGGAAATCAGTGGCTTGGAAACCCAGCTGGTCCTTGCCATGAAATAGTGACACATCCATACATCCATCCCTCGACTCACTACACTTCTGAGCTTCCACCGAGTGAATGTTTTGCTGCTGGAGTCACCGACTCCAGCTGTGCTCTCTCTCTTCTGTCAACTCAGCCCTGGGGAACCACTTCCTGTGCTGCCCCCAGAAACCGAGCCCCAAATATCTCTGCCAGCATTGGCCTAGGTGGTACTCCAATGGGCCAACCGATCATCCCGAGCAATCATTGCATGGCTCATCCATGGGGTTTCAAGAATCATGGAGCTGGTACTAGTCATCATGAGATCCAGCATGATATGGGATTAGGACACTTTGATGATGATGGCAACGGTCAGTTCTCTGGGGAGCTCGAGCTCGCTCTGCAAGGGAACAGTCAGTGCCCGGCTCATGGTCCAGTGCGGGCTTATGACCATTCTGGCCACGGTGGGCATTGGTCTCTCTAAATGACCGTTCTGGCTTTGGTGTGGACCGATATTGATTATGTAGGTGATGAATTATTGTATGGATTTCTTGATGGTTTATGTATTACCCTTATCTAGAAGGTTGTTTGTTATCTCCTCTCTGAGGTATGATGAACCTGTTTGCTTTGGACCTGAATTTGCCTGTGGTGGCCTGTTGTTTGTAACTGCTATCTTAAAACAGTCTTCTGCTATCTAATGTTGCCCGGGTTGCTTGCAGCTTTGCTTGCAGCTACTTGTTTCTGTATGATGTCTGAGATAAAAAAATTTCTGTTAATGCTTACTCAGGGTTGAGTCTTCAGGCAATCTTTTGAAATCTCCCACCTTTTCCTTTCTGGAAAAGATATTTCAAATTTGTTAATAGTGGCAATGTAGTACCTTAATATTCCCTCTATAGCAAAGTTACAGGTTTTATAGTCAGCACTGCATTAACAAGAGTTAAATGCAAATATGGTACTTATGCATAGAGGTTAAAGATTCATAAGAAGATGAAAGATACTTCCTTTTAGAGAAAATCAAATATTATAGAAAGGCTAATTAAAACAGAATAACCAAAATTGTGAATTTCTATAGAGGAAACGCATTAGAGTAAAACTGGTCATAATTAAAATCATACTCATACTTCATTGCTTCAACAAGGCTGGTCTTTCACCAAATAACCACGGGCCATTATCCATCATTGTTTGCATCTCTTGCTAGAGTAGCAATCATATGCTCTTGAACATCCAGTACAAATTATATAGTATTCTTGTAATATTAATAGATTTAATTGTTATATATATAATTTTGGTGTTATTTTCTATAATTGTTTTAATAACCTTCAAAATTATTTTATTAGATCATGCACTGCGATAATCACTTGCTTAGAGATGTGATCTAACTTAAAGATTTTTTAAACTCGTGTTTAACCAACTAGTAAATGATAACTTCGTTATAATATGTTATTATACATGATACCAATATGTGAGATGTGATTGTGGGTCTTAACCACCGGGAATGGAGTTTCCCTGGGTATATGTCATAAGTACACATTGTGATGTGTCTAGCACTAGACTACATTTAGATTTTCTAGGACAAGTCACCTAGGAGATGGAGAAATCAGATTGTTATATGGTCCCTTTGACTTGACGATATTATCATTTCTGATTTGATAACTTAGTATATTTTGATGTGATGGTTAAGCTTGTTTAACAAGCACTTCACAACCTGAAACGTTAGGTTGCTAAATTTCATTTAGGAAATTGATGGATATTTTGATAGGATGCTCATTATGATGAGTTAATTTATTATGCATTCCCATGAAGTTATTTAATTTCTGCTGGCAGGTGGTTTTGCAAAATATTTTTAAAAACTTATTTTCTTCTAAGGACCTATTTGGTTTGGACAAAACATGCCGGAAAGTGAAAGAAAGCCTCTGTTCCTCTCTGACACCGGTGGAAAAAAAAAAATCAAAAAATTGATTTTTCGGTTGTTTGGGCCCGAAAAAATGGAGATGTAGAGAACCGTTTTGTAATCATTTAAAAAAAAAGAAAATCAAAGGTTTTGTAACTCTAGCCCTAACACATGTTTCAATTGGGTAATTTAATGCACTAAATAAGAATAAATGTGATAGGAGTTATAGAATGCAAATGGACTTTGAAACCCTAAGTAATCAATCCCTCATAGCTTCATGCGCACAACCAAAAGAGAAAAACAAAGCTTTGGAAAAATTAGAGGAAGGAATTTAGGAGAAATGCTTCAACAAGGTGAGTGTTTTATTCATATTTATATTTTTATTTTTAGTCATGAATTCTTGTAGAAGAGAAAGGAAATAGTACCTTTTCCGGCCATCAGCGTCACGTCTGGCGATGTCCGGTGATCTCCGATCAAATCTTGGACCGGACCTTCGCCGGCAGTTCAAACCCTAGCCATCGATCCCAAATCCCTTCTTGAATGGGTTCAAATTTATTGAGAAATTAGAGATTGGACGTGGGGTTGAAAGAAGAATCAAAGATCTTTAGTCTAAACCTTGAGTTTCTAAAAAGTTAACTTCTAATCCAAAAGATAGAATAGTTCTACAACATTATTCATGTTGTAGAAAATTAGTTTTAATTTAAAAACTTTATAAAAACAAGTTCTTACAAGAACTGATTGTGAAATATTTGCCTTAGCCCTGAGACCAGAAGTTTTGCTGTAAGTCCAATTTTTTTTGCTTTAAAAGAAAGATAAACAAATTTTTTAGAAACCCCCTTAGACCCTAGAAATATCAAAAATTAGTTTTAGGTCCAAAAACCTACAACGAGATGTTTCTAAATAAAACCTACTTAATGAAAAGATTTCCTCTAAGACCTTAGTTAAATAAAGTTTACTATTAGATATTTATACATCTTGAATGATTATAGGTTTGATCAAGGAGTAGGTTTTCTTGAGTACGGTTCTCCAAATTTTTACAAGATCTTTTAAGGTGAGTAGAATTCTTCTCATTGGTTATTTTCTATTATATATTATTTAAATGATAAATTTATTTTTGTATAGAGAAATGATAAATCTGACATGTTATTCTGTTCATTTATAGTAATTGTTAATAAATTTGAATGTGATAGCTATTTATCTTATACAAGATAAATAATGTTTAGTATATGAGATTAATGAAAATATATCATTTTAAATTTACTATTCAAATGCATTTATTAAAGAGTTCTATTTGACAAAAATAAATTATCTATTAGTTTAGATTCATGAATATTCTATTTTCATGAAATTGATATGAGAAAAGTTTACAAATGTGTTTAAGCATTTATAATGCTTTTCGTATAAGTGAAAATTATGAGCGATACTTTGAACAAAAAGAAAAGTGTTTTAAATGTTAAAAATCTGTAGAAGTCCACTATGGAGTGAAGTGATTTTTTTAAGCCTACCGTATGATATTGAATGTACCGACCAGTGTTAAAGTGGTCTTTTTGGCAAAAGTGAAGTGATATTCGGGCAACCTATGGTAGTGCTAGGTACAATCTGTCCCCGGGTTGACTTATATTGATTTGATGCGCATTCCCATGTTACTTAGCTGTAATTTTTGTAGCCTTAGTTGACAATTGAGGAAATTTTTGTATGTGTGGATTTAGATGGATAATTACGCTTTTAAAAGTATTTAGTGCTCATTTGTATCGTTTTAAAATTCGTGAATATTAATTTATGACAATATCACATCTATTCTTAGAAAATCCTTTTATTCAAAATGTTATGTATTTGTTAATATTCTTTTTGATGATAGCTTATTTAAATTTTAGTATTGATTAATTCTTAAACTTTTCTGATCCGCTAATGATAAATTTTTTGCTTACTGAGTGTAAATTTACCCCGTTGTTTTTCAATCTTTTTAAGGTGAAAATTAGATAGCTTTATCAAAACCTCGGAGCTTTAGAACATGAGAAGAATCTTTTAGAGTGTTTGATGTTGGAATTATAGTTATACTAGTCATGGAATCTTTTAGAGTGTTTGATGTTGGAATTATAGTTATACTAGTCATGCTACAATGCTTATGTAATAAGAGTCTTTTGACTCATTAGAGTGGTCATGCTACAATGCTTATGTAATAAGAGTCTTTTGACTCATTAGAGTGAACTTGTGATAATGTAGTTTTGCTCTGAGACTTCTTTATTTGTCAATAAAGCTTCTGTTAAAATGAAATTTTTGTAATATGGAAGTGCACCGCAGGCTTAGCATGCGCTTTGTGCACGTGTTGCCGTTGTCATGCATCTCAAAATTAGCTGCGTATTTTATTGGCGTGACAAGTTTTGGTATCAGAGCCAGGTTTAGAAGTCCTAGGCTTAGAGTTTTATAGATAGTAACGTTTAGAAATAAATTTTAGAATTGTTTTTAGGGATTATTGATATCTTGTTTGTTTGCTTTATAACTAGATGGTTAGGAACAACACAAACACTACTTCAACTCGAGAAAGTGATTTGCACCAGACTTTGTGACAAATATTTGGTGGTAGAAATGTACGTGGATCTGGTTCCGGAGAAATCAACTGGATGCCAATGCTATGTTGCAGATGATGCAAAGTCTCACCTCTATGATGCAAAATCAGCAGCAACAACTTAACAAACAACAAGAATCTCGATACATTGATCATCCTCGATTACGAAGTGGTATGGCGGAGTTTAAGAGGTTAACACTGCCTACCTTCGAAGGAAGTGTTGATCCTAAGGTAGCTGAAGACTGGATCACAGAAATGGAGAAAGTCTTTACTTACATGAAGTGTCCTGATGGAGAAAAGTGGCGTATGCAATATATATGTTAAAAGAACGTGCATATGGCTGGTGGCAAATGTAGCAGAGAATTCTGAGAGATGGTGTTGACCAAATATCTTGGGAAGAATTTAAAAAAGTCTTTTATGAGAAATAATTTCCAAAGACTGTTCGCCAGCAGAAGGAGAATGAGTTCCGTAAGTTGAAGCAAAATGATAAGACTGTGGTGGAGTATGAGGAAGAATTTACTTATCTATCTAAGTTTGCACCAACATTTGTTGTAACTAAAGAAGATAGAGCACGTTGTTTTGAGGAGGGTCTGCAACCCGAGTTAAGGTTTTAAGTGAGCTCATTTGAACTCTCTACTTATGATACAGATTATCTTCTTCTCCGCTTCAGGAGCTTAGCGATCCTCATAGGAGCTTGAGGATAGACGATTCTCATGGTATCTTAAGAATAGAGGCGTGAATGAAGCTGTTGGTGGCGGCAAAAGAAGCCAAAAGCAAGAAGACAACAAAATCAGGGAACTGGCGCTCAGGCTCTGGCCGGTCGACCGGACCAGCTAGCCGGTCGACCGGACCAAGCTGGTCAGTCAACCGGATTCATGCACACTACAGGGTGAGGAATGAGTCCTCTGGCCTGTCGACTGCGACAAACTGGTCAGTCGACTGGAAGTGGTTCTGCTTGCAGGGTTTGAAACCAAGCCTCTGGCCGGTCGAACGGGACATGTGTGCCGGTCGACCGGATCGGGTTTCCTGAGTTGCTTGTGACTCTTTTTGACGCATTTTCCTAGTTTGTTTGGACTTGTTTATTTATAAGATTACCATCCATATTGTTAGGGATATAAATAGGATTGTTTTAGGGTTTCTAGAAAATCAGATTGTATTCAAACAGAATAGAGAGATTGTTCTTTATTCTGGTAAGATTGTGAGAGAGAAATTTGTAATCTTTTATTACTCATAATCTAGAGAAGGTATTTTTCTTTACCAACTGAATTGTTCTTGTGTTTTCTATTATT